GATCATTGTATAAAAAAATCAACTCATTGTCACCTGTAAACAAGTTTGCAGCATCGATAAATTTATACTAATTGAACAAAGGTGCACTGAACCATACCCCTTCACGCATCCTCCAAAAAATATATAGCCGTAAAAAATCCATGATACACCCCACAGTGCATATACATATCAAGAAGATTAAGAGGAACAGATGAGTGATTCTCAACTTCCAGCTACATTTTCATTCAGCACTCACCAACACCTAGACCTTATATATGTAATGAATCTACTCATAAATTCAATTAGCCATAAAAAACAGCATCACAAGATCACACCATTCGGATTAAAACAAAATAAAAAACAAAGTACTCCTCAAAGCACCACAGTACACAAAAAGAGGAATAGAAAGAGAACACACAGTGCTGGCATCAGGGTCAAGGCACGTCTGGGAAGAGCTCGAATCTGAAACCGCCTTCGGCGACACCACGCGGGCAGACCGCAGTTTGCCCTTTCCCCTGCCATTTTCAGCTTCGCTTTCAAGATTCACACAAACGCCGCCCCCCAAAAATTCGGATCTCGGCGAGCTAATGGCGGCCGTGAAATGAAACTTGCCTTTCCCATTAAGCTCGAAAGACGGATAAATCGGAAGCCCGGGAATTTTGGCCAGCCCAATGAGTGAAGACGAAGCCACAGCCGCCATTTTTTCCGTCCTCACGCCTTCACACCACAAAACTTTTCAATAAAATGCTACAGCTGTTAATTGCTATTTTATTGAGGTTTTATGTAGACGCCATTAGTTGTACAAAATTTGTTTGTTTGTTTATTCCACGTGTATCAAATTTTACTAGTAAGGTGAAGGGGAGGTTCCACGTGTATCAAATTTGTGATTGTATATAAATTTTCTTAATTTATATTCAACATCTGACCCCTTACAATCTTCAATATTATCTATAAATTATTACATATAATTAAGCAACTCACTTACTAAAAATAGTAAGTGTTTTAATAAGTCCTTCATTAAATTATTATTTATGGAAAGTTAATTTTAATTTTTTATTATTTTATTAAACGTGCTTCAATCTCCGTTAATTATTATTTTTATCTTTAATAATAGATTAATAGTAAAAGTGGACCTAAATTTATTATTACCATTTGTAGATAGGCATTTTAAAATGTTTTGTTTGTTTTGATTTCATTAATGTAAAAGTAAATTTCTTTTTACATTTACATGATATGTTGAATCACGGTGAATTATTTATGATGTATGTTAAATAATAATTTATATTTAAAGTCTTCCTAAAAATATGAAGATACTAGATAATAATATGGTATTTATTTAAATAAAAGAATGGTTCACAAATAAATAAATTGTAAGTATATGTATATAAAATAAGAGTTAATAAATAAGATTACATTATAAATTATAAAACCAGACAAGTAAGAAATAATATATTCAAGTGTCAAAATACGATCTAAATTACATGATAAATTCAAACAAAATGTAATAAAATGTGGTAAGATAATAAAATAATTTGAGAATTTTCTTATATTCCAACTATATATATTTGCGCATTTAGTACATGTTGTTCCAATTAAATCAATTTAGTTACTCAACTTTTCGTTTATCAATAAATTTTGGTCCACATCTTTAGATTTCATAAAAAAAAAATAACGGTTTTAGAAAAAATTTCGTTAAATTCATGGAAAACTATATAAAAAAACTATATAAAAAAAATTCGTTAATACTATGTCAATTTGTTCTACTAATAAAAAAAAACTAAAGAATATATATAT